ACCAAGGATGTCATGCCATTCAGTGGCAGTATGAGTGGTGAAAGTATTGATTTTGTATTGTCCGTCGCTGAGTGAGATGCGTTGGACGATTTGGTCGTTCTGTATAATGTGACATTCTGGTGTCGAATTGTCAGTAGAGGCAGGAGGGAAATAGACCCCGAGTCCATGTTGTTGCATATGGTGGACTGAGAGGATATTTTGAGTGGCCTGGGGCATAACTAATACTGGACCGAGACCGGGAATTTTGCCACGTTCATGTACGGTTATTTGTGGCTTATCTGGAAACTCTACAATAAATTGCCCATATTCTATATTCTTGAGACCATCGCTTGTAGTACGTATGTGTACCATTGCGCCGGAATCAATATGGGATGCCCTATATTGAGGCTCGTTGTTGGGTCCAGATGTCTGATATTGGAGACTATTAAACTTATAGATATGTACGATAGCTGGATTATCTATGGTGGGCTGGTGATGTGTACTATCGTGTAAGATATCGGATATTTGATAATGACGTATCTGATCGGACTGGGCTCCGTGCCTTCATTTTTGTAGACATGCAGCATCGGTATGACCTGGTTTGTCGCATTTAGAGCAGTGGAGTGTAGAGCGATCGACAGGACATTTCTTTCATTTGTGGTTGTTCGAACCACATTTGCGGCAGATAGATGATGGGCAGCCGTGGATGCCATGGCCCTTCTCGTTGCATAAGAGGCAGATAATGTTGCGACGTTCCCGTTGACCAGCAGCGGTGTCTTTACCGTGATCGCCACTACTGGTGTATAGTTTAGTGTTGATAGCATTGATGCCAGAAGCAGTGTTGTCGCTTTTATGAAGTTGATGGCCACCTTCAAATTTCATGGTCATATGGTATGCGTCATCAATCGTGAGTTTTTCTTCATCCATGTCGAAGATAGTGGAGCGTAGGAGCGTGTAACTGTCACCTAGACTGTATAGAAGGGCTCAAATAGGACACTTGTCGGGTATGACTTCGCCAACATCTAATAGGTTTTGACGGAGAGCTTCAGGTGCCTGCATTGTGGTTTCTGTACTATCAGTCGATTTGAACGATGTAAGGCGTTGCTTGGTGTCCCAGAATCTGCCAAACCTGCCTGTGTTGTGTACTGTGCAGATGTGTTTGAAGAACTCGGCTGGGGGGTTGTTTACGTATTGTTTGTAGACTGTCGTTATTAGTCCCTCACTGATGGAATCTACCAATATGCGATTACACTTAGCATCAGTATGGACGTTGAATCCTCCGTTTTGAGTTTGTTGCAATCAGGGTGTAAACGGTGAAAAGTGCCATAGTAGGACATCTCCATTTTGGTGTCAATTAGCCAAGCACCAAAGCTGTTAGAGCCTGTTAGTTGTGTGCGTTTGTACACGTCTTTGTACTTAGGGCAATCACTGAGTGGGATAGGTGGTGCTTGGAGGCTAATGCCATACTTTTCGGCGAAGGTGGTAGGCTTCTTGTGTTGCTGTTTGGCTCGGTTGAGTTTGTCGATAGTTTCTGCGAGCTGAGTGCGTGTGGTTTGAAGTTCGCCTTCCAGTGTTTCCAAATTTTGAGTGGATTTTTCAGTTTGTTCGTATAGCCGAGTCTGGGTATCGTTGAGACGGTCGGTGAGCGTGAGGTGTTCGTCGCGAAGAGTGTTGTATCTGGCAAGTAATTGTTTGTGATCGTCACCTAAGTTGGTGTTTTGCCGTTTGTAATTTTCCACCTCTAGTTCAAGCTCTGCTGCTTCAGTGCGACTGTGTTGGAGTTCGCTTTCTAATAGTGATAGATGTGCGAGAGCAGTTGCAGCGTGAGTGTTAACCTCAGTGATGTCAAGATCAGCTTTGCACTTTCGAATGTTTTGCAAATGATTGTTGGCTTGCTCAACAGTGACATATGGTGGACATTGAGGCCAGAATCGTTCGCGGAAGTCATTGCCCTGTTCGACGGTTCTAAACGCGTTGGGCAAAACGTGTGCTTTGCTGTTGGACATTGTGGGTTACGTGTATAATGTCTGTTTGAGTGTAGACTTTTTGGGACTATGCGGTATTGTGTTGCACAGTTAAAGAGATGGAAGGGGCTTGAGGTTATGTTGTAAGTAGTATTTTAGTACTTATTGTGACCTTACGTGTATGGCTAAATTTATAGGCCCATAACCTGTTAGACAAAATAAACGTGTAATATGTGAGTTTATTTGTATTGATCACAGTAAACCAGGATTGTTTACCAAGCATAAAACTACGGTCAAACACCGGAGGCTCAACAAGGTTTATCCCAGCATCAACCAAGGAGAGAATCTAAACTCAGAGAGGGACACAGAAATATTACAGATGGAAAATAATCTCGGAGCCGAAGTGCCGGGAGTACGGAATCATCAATTTAAAAAATCTCTGATGGGGGCATAAGGGCATCCATAAATATCGGAGGAGTACAATCTAAACGTATAAGGCCAAAGATTACAATGGAAGCCAAGATCAGTTAAAGACGTGGCGACGCTGCCTTTGGATTGGATCATAGATTAAGTGAGAACCTTTTTCACCTTAAGAGGTGTTTTTTAATGGCTCAAGGATTACGTGACCAACGCATATAAAAGCAGGGTCTCGAATCAAATAAATCACAACTATTCACTTAAAACTTAAAACACTTTTAAGATACTTTAATATCTGAGAACAATAACTTACACCTCTTCTGAGGGCTTATACGCATCACTATTTATCCGCCTATATTAACATGAACTCTTTTGGCAGGGTGTCATTTTTGTTGACACTGACAGCCCGGTGTACCGAACTGCTATTGTATTCTTGATATTCGCATATGATGATTTGTTTTTGCCTGACACGTCTAAGCATTCAATGGGATGGAGAGCTAGACACCATGTGATGAGGTATATGTGCAGACATTTAACTGCACCTGTATGGTGTTTTGATTTCTTTTATACTTTTTAAGTTAGACTTAGAGTTATTTTAGTAGGAACAATGATATTATTTATTTCAAAGCAGATAAATTACAATGTATGTACGTATGGTATGGTTCCCAAAGCCGTTGTAGTGGCTCGGTGAAGATCGATGAGAAGAAGTGTGATTACGATTGGAGGAGTGTTTCGAAGCATGAAATGACAAGGGAATGATGTATCATGCATCCAATGAAATGAAATCTGATTTTAGATACACCAAATAAATCTAGACCGAAGTAGTGACCGATTAGAACGGAACTATAAAGATAATAATTTAGTCTTAAATTCCATAACCTTTCGGTCATAACCTAGGGCTGAAGCTAAACTTAAATTACTTTGAGCAATTTTAAGACGTATTTTCTTTTACGTTAACTTATTAGTATTGTATAGTCAGCCTGGTTAGTCCGAATTTTACATATTTTTAAGTTCATTAACGCAATCAACACCATGACGCAACGTAGAAGAAAATCGAAAGCGTCCAAGACTATTTACACGTAAGTTCAAGGGCCCCAAATGCTCTTTGACCCCAAACCCCGAGGCAGACGCAGCGATTGATAAGTTCGTCGCATTGGAGCTATCAGCTGGGGGGGAAATAGCGGCGGCCAAAGCCGCTCATGGAAGCGGAAGCAGTTCTAAGGACGTCAAGAAAACGCCACAGAAAAAGACTTCACAGCGTGGTTCAGCGGGACCTACACTGATAAGTGTGTCGCGCGCGACCGGTGACGGACTCGGAATCAGAGTCAGAACCGAAATTTGATGAGGAGTCTTCGGAAGCGAATGACACAGATGATTTCCACCGGAAGTTACGTAAGATAGCATAAACTTACATGAATGCAAACAAAAAATAAAGGCTGTTAAGCAAAACTTCACCGTATACAATATACATGCATCTTACGCATGCGCCTTAAACATACGTCTTATACATGTGTCTGCCACATCTGTCATATCCATGCGTGTGCTGCATGCGTCTTATATATGCATGATACACATGCGTCTTTTACATGCGTCAGCCGTCTGCGTCTTATACATGCATATTATGCATACATCTTATATATGCGTCTTGTACATACATCCTATACACACTTCTTATACATATGTCTGCTGCATGTGTCTTATGCATACATCTTACGCATGCGTCTTATACATGCATCTTATACATGCGTCTGCCGCATGCATCTTATACATGCGTGTGCCGCATGCGTCTTATACATGCGTTGTATGCATGCATCTATTACATGTATTTTATACCTGCCGTCTTATACTTGCGTCTTATACTTGCGTCTGATACCTGCGTCTTCAGCATGCTTCTCATACGTGCAATTTATTATTATAAAGACTTTACTTTATTATTAGTAGCAGCTATTATACATGAAGAACTAACTAAAGCTGGATGGCCATTCTATTCTTAGTCTTATGCTGTAATAAATCAAGCATCGATCTCTTCTTGACTGGCCCAATACCGGTGACCTTCGTGCTTAAATTCATCAAGGTTGTAGATGAGCTCTATCAAATACATAATAGGAGTGTTAGCTTTGATCTGTTCTGTGGTATCATGACCCACTATAACGATACACTTGCTCCCTTTTGGTTTCAAAATAGGGCCGTCTGTAATGTCTACTTATAGTAATTGAAAGTTTTGGGGGGAACCATGGACTTCATCCGGCCAATGTCTGCGTTGTTCTAGTGTTAGAAGAATTCCCCTTCTCTGTATATATATGTACGATTTACCACCATGATGACATTGCTCTCTGCAAGTCCCACAAACACGTGGCTTTGGCCGGTTTGTTACCACGTACTTGTATCGATAGTGAACCTTGTGTTGCTGAGTGACATCCTGAAACGTGTCGTTGACTTTCATTTTACTGGAGTCTGTGGTATCACTTTAGTCCGGGTCAGGTCGGTGTCCTGGGTCAGGATGTCCTGGGTTGGTGTATTCGTAAGGTCTATCACATAGTTGGTCGTGGTACGTCACTGGAGGACCTTGATGAGTTGTTGGTGTTGGTGTTACGCGGAGCGGATTTGTCACTGATGGAGTGACCTGCAGATGACTCTCCTTTAGCATTTTTTTTTTGCCATCTGAAGGTTTCTCCTGGACGTGCATGTAATAGTGTCGGGTCTCCTGGAGTTCTTTACTATCCACAGCTCCATTAATACACTGCAATCCGCACTTGTATCGGCAGCTGACTTATCCAGAGCATTAGGTTCGGCGGCTGGCTTATCCAGAGCATTAGGTTCGGCGGCTGGCTTATCCGAAGCATTAGGCTCGGTGGCTGGCTTATCCGGAGCATTAAGTTCGGCGACTGGCTTATCCGGAGCATCAGGTTCGGCGGCTGGCTTATCCGTAGTATTAGGTTCGACAGCTGGCCTATCCGGAGCATTAGGTTCGTCGGTTGATTCCACTTTCCGCTTCGTCGGCTGCTGCTTTAGCTCCACTCCATGCTTACATTTGATTTGTTGTCCTCCAGGCTGACGCGGTATAGTCTTTGGGCCCTCGAAAAGACTGTTAAGGAGTCGTTCTTCGCCTCTTTGTAACGCAGAGTATTTCAACAATCCGTTACCTATCGCGGCCAACTTATTCTGGCCATGATCTATATCGTTGAGCTTTTGAAACATCAGGCCCAATACATCTGTAAGTTATTTAAGGATATCCACATGTCCATTCTTATATGCACCCACTGTATACACCAGAACACAGTTTCTGATACTCGGTGAAATTCTGGTCGGTGTATGTACTATACTTGCTACTACTCGGCTGCTTCTTCCCCTTGTCCTTCGTACTTTTAGGCACCTCCGATCTGTGCATATCCATTGGACCTTCATCATTCGAGCCAGGTGGAGCGTCATAATCCAGTCCCGGATCTTTGCCAAAGTCACCTCGTCAGCCTGTACTCCTTCTAACGTAGAACTATCGGAGCCTTCCGCGTTGATATGCGGGCAAGCTTTTTCAGGTCGTTGCTCGATGTTGAACTTCCAAAGTTTATGAAAATCCGACTCCTTGAATAACGGGTTTTAGGGTTTTAGGATCCTACAGATTTGATGACCACTTCGATAAACATCTCTGTGCACTTCCGAGATCCCTATTGTCGACATTGAGCAGTTATGAAATTCTGATATGGATGGAGTACCTCCCTTGCCATAACACCCCAAACCGTATTCCATTGCATATTTCACCTTGTCAGCTCTGCATGCTACTAAAACCTAGCTGCAAATATCTGCGATGCGATTGATGAGGGTGGGCGGATCCAGTCTCAAATTCTTGAACCAACTTCCGACTTGCGCATGCGTCGACACGCTCATCTGGGAACCTTTGAGTTCCAAAGTCGCTAATCGTAAGCACCTAATTAGCAAGGTATCTGGACATGTTCGTGTTCACGAGGTTAGGAATGTAACTTGCAGTCGAGTCCGCGTCTCTCGTCTGCAGTATCTGGATTACAACTATAAAGTGCGCATCAGAACTTCTTCGCGTTCCTGGATGTAGGACATCTAGAATCATTACCTGGAGTTTGCCACTATAAAGACCCCTCAAGTTCTTGTAGAAGTTTATCTTGATATGATATCTGTCTGAGAAAAAGAACTGCCCTGGATTTACATCGGCCTGAGTCAGGAACCCTTCAGCAAACACGAGTCTCGTATTCAGTGGTGCTTTTGGCCCTGGGCCTATTGATTTCTGTAAACTGTCCAGAGCAAAGTTATAGATGGCTTTGGTCTCCATGTAGAACAACGTAACACCAAAGTGTTTGATCATACCACCAATTCCCGGTCCTACAATAATGGCTAATTGCCAGCCCCAATAATTGTTGCCCTTGTGTCGCGTATTCAGACACTCAATACTTTCGTATTTGGCGTAAGATTGTCTCATAGTGTAATTGCTGTAGAATATACATCAGAGTTCCCGTCACCTGGTCTACATATTTGCTTACATACAGATGTGGATCCTGTGCCTTCGCAAACTGAAACCAGACAAGGAAGTCGGTCCTGTACAAGGAAGAGGCACAGATTACACACACTGTTATTTATCACAGCCAATATTAGGTAATGCTACATTGATACAATGAAGGAGGCATGCGAGTTAAACAAACATATATACATTAGCTGCCGATATGTATGGAGTTAAACCATTTCAGTGGCCGCATCGAATTGATATAATAATTTTTTTTAACATGTATCCTCACAAAATGAATTGACACAAAGTCTGACTTTCATAGTTTAAATTCATCCTATCATGCTAGTGAGATGTGACACGGAAACCAGTGAAAATATATTCTTCAGGCTGCATAAATCTGATAATTGAGTTAATGTAAAGACTATATTTGAGTTATTTTAAAGACTATATTCACATGTTGACGAAAGTTTGTTCCATCAGTACAGAAAAGGAATGCACATCCAGTCAAATGAGAACAACAGCTGGCAACAACAATGGCACTGACTATGCATCAAGGTGTGTTTTACATATTTGAGAATGATTGTCAATTTTCTGTAAGGTGAAGCTCGGTAAAGGTTTGACTGATCCCCAATTTCCCAACCTATTATTTAGCAGTCATCCTTTATTTCTATATTTCTATCTTACTGACAGAAATGTTTTCTTCAGCCTAGGTCTAAGCGAAGGCTCTCAAACACCATCCATCTCACTACCGTCTATCATTGCCCTCGCGATGAATGCCAAACTACAAGTAGAACAACAGGAACTACAAGAGGTCGACGCCGATCGTATCCGGACAGAAATTAGGAATAGCGGAAACACTTCATTCGGTACCGGAAAGTATTCCTTGTACGGGCTCCGGTCTCACATCACCGGAGTCTCTACTGCTCAACACCTCGCCACAGTGCAACCGTGCGTCACCGAAGCCATCTTGGTTGGAGCACTGGACAAACACGAGAAATTGCGAATCTCATGAGGATACAGGACGTTGAGTTCTCTGAGGGACTATCTCGCTCACCGGTCAGCTGCCCTTCGTGGTACAGCACCCAGAATCCTGTAGTCATCAAGGAACTTACTAAGATATTTACCTGGCTAAATTTCTTAGCCTTCTCTCTAAAGCAAATCGATCTCGGTGGACTTCCCGCTCACCACCGGAAGCAAGCCTACCGAGAAGTAATCTGCACACAGTTGAACTCAAACAGCTGAGTGTCAATTAGGGCTGTAGAAATACGGCTTCCGGTCATTCTAAAATATCAAGATCAAATGAGATAACACATTGGTTTTTATTTGTATTTAAAATAATTTAATACAAGTTCTTTTTCCAATATTTCCTCAGTGTTCTAAATTCACTTTGATTGCTCCAATAACCTTGGTATGACTCATTTACTTGTACCTATTTGAAATGATAGTAGATGTAGGATATTATAACCTAAATTTTATAATCCCTGAACTACTACTTACAGGTTTTGGTCTTCCCGGCAATCTCCAAAATCCAATAAGTATTTTTCTTTTTTATAACTTTTCTTCAGATGGGACTTTAATTATATTAGCTAATGTATTAACTTGACTTACGTTCTTATGTCTATCTACAAATTAGACATGTGGTCATGAACACTTAGTACTTCTAGTGAAAATTATTCAATAAAGAACAGCTAGAGGTACGTCCTGTGTGATGGAGGATATTAAGACTCTTACCAAGAGGCAGTCCCGATCATTCTTACACAAGCTACCACACTAAATCCTAACTGACTTAAATTGTATCTTAGTTTATACAACATAGTTTAAAACGTAGGAATATCCATCGAAGTTTACAGGGCTCTGCATTAGCTGCCCTCGTGGAACAGCAAGTCTGCCCTACTTACAATAGCTCTGCTACCATCTTCAAGTACGTTAAGGCAACGAAGAAGAAGCAACACGAATTGGTCCTTACCAAGGGAAAGTTCAATGTCAAGGAAGAATAAATCTTCCAAGACTCCCTTATACCTCAGAGTAAAAAAAAGCGCTACCAACATGGTGGGCCTATGAGGCGTCCCAGGAAGTTCTCTAAGCCTTCAAGTATGGGGTACGTCCAGCATGGGGTCCCCAAGGTCCTCCGAAGCCCTCCAGCAAAGGTCGATGGATCAACAATGCGGATGTGACCGAAGCGATGACGAACACGGAGCTCGAAAGACTCCGAGAGGCAGGAGTTATCCGACGCTGTCAGGACTGGGAGGAATACCTGGTCCACTCTGCGTTTATGATCCTGAAGTCAGATGGAAAGCACTCCCGTCTGATACTGAGCCCCAAGGACATCAACAAGGCAGCAGAGAAGTAAACCTACTGAGCAGAAGGACTGGAGAAACTGTCCCAAATTGCCCGCCGGGGGGATGTAGCCATGTCGTCAGACATCAAAGATGGCTTCTATGCGTTGACTGTGGCCGACCCGAAACTCTGGTAATTTGGATACCCCCACGGCCCACTGTGGAGCTTCCTAGCCTTACCCATGGGAGCCACGTTCTCACCAGCGTGGTTCTCCTGTTGATGGACGTCTTCTGTCGCATGACAAGGAGCCTAGGGATCAGAATAATACTCTAAGTGGATGACCTACTGCTTCTGGGTCGTCCACACACTTTAATGGGGCAGAAGTGTTACATCGATCACCTGCTCACAGAACTTGGATTGGAGTTAGCTCCCGGGAAGGGCTATTGGGACTTCCCCGTGACAAGGTTGCAACACTTAGGCGTGATAATCGACCTAGTGCGCAACACGATAGAGATGACGCCGGCCTTCACGGCCAAACTTCTCACGAAGCCCTCACAGATTGCGACGCAACTGTGACAATCTTTCTGCGGATACCTGCTGTGGGCAGGGTTATCAATACTGGGACTATATTCATTCATCGCCGATCTACAACAATCGACACCATGGACACGAGCCCAGATAATTTGTCTCTCAGGTGCAGCGTTTAAAAAGATCGAAATCGATTTGGCTTCCCGACCACAGAGCAGCACTCACCTCGAACCCCTTCAAGATAGGGTTCGGGGCAACGCTTTACTGGCAGGAAACCCGACCACCTTCGCAGGTCCGTGATGCCTCACCGAAAGACTATGGCCTATCGCAGTTCTCGGACTCAAGGCTTTCGTTTTAGCGTACGAGTAATTCCACAGAACTCAAAACGTCGACCAGATCCCTCTGCTATAGCTCACCGACAGCAGTACTTCTCTGCACGCACTACGGATGCGCAGAAGCCAATCCAAGCTCATGAACGTCCAGCTCCAGCCTCTGGCCAGTCTCTTTGGGATACATGCCCGGCGAGCTAAAGCTCGCCGCGGACGACCTCTCAAGATCAGGGAAGCTCCTCGAGTACCAAGGTACGAGACGATTCTGCGGCTGTTCCGGAAGTGGATGATCAAACCGAACCCCTCGGAGAGATCTTATCCAGAAAGCTACTACTTGGGGAAAAGCCACCAGGGCAGGTGTCGTTTGCGAACCCCTTCCACGACAAATGGGACAAGTCCCTGGAACTATTGGCCCCACCAGAGACCATGCTGGGCCCCATCCTGGAACAACTCGATCGACGCCTCGAACGGGCAGTCATTATTGTGCCAGTGTGGACCAAGGCCTCGTGGTGGCCTCACACAGTCAGGAATGGCCAGGAGATATAAATTCTCGAGGCAGGCGCAGTCCACTATCCAGCTCCAGTGGCATATGAGTTGGACATGGCCGTGCCTCACACAAAACTCCTACCGGCCAAAGATGTGAAGGTACGTTGGCGGGCTCTCTGGACCACATTCTGGCACATAGGCGCTCGGCGCGCCACAAAGTCTGTTTAGTATGCGAGTGCCGGACGACATCATCAGTGACATCATGAACATAGAGCAGGCCTCTCTCAAGCCTTATCGCTCTATCAAGACTCCCACTGACGCCGACCGACGTTTTAATTCGTGTTTGAAGGTAGAGCCTTTGGCGTAAAACGGTGAAGATTCCCAGTAGTGATAGGAACAAATACTATTGTAGAAGAATTTTTACCTTCCAATAGTACTATGGGAAAGGGAGTAGATTAGAGCAACTGTTTAAAAAAATTGCGCCGCGGCGTAGTGGTTATGACGCCACAGCACAAAATACTTTAACCAGGGGCAATTCCTACTCTAAGTCATTGTATATACACAGCGTCTTTATAAAACGTTGTTGTGTATATAAGGACGAGGATAGTATCCACTATTCATCATCCCGTAATTCTATCTTACTCTTACCCGCAAGCCACCCAGGAACATATCATGCTGAAATCCATGCATTTGGTGCACCAATGAGATAAAAACTGGCTGCAAACCGCAATGCACGCCTCGCCAAACGAAGTAAGACGCTTAGCACATCTAAAGCGTTAACGGCTAGCAAAAATACGTTGTATCGATCTACGATGTTGAGTAAGAGAGCGTGCCACCTTGTACAACAAGCAGTGAGAACAACGAACATCTAGAAAAGAATCGAAAAGAGACGATCAACGTATAAACTAATATAGTGAGAGGTACTGCGGCAGAGTCGAAGTCATTTTATATTGGCGACTGGATCTTGCAAGAAAAATATTGTAGTACAATGCTGCGAACCAGGAGATGGATCAAATGATCGTTAATATCTGGAGTATTCTTGCTTAGCACGTCTAAAGAGTTAGCGGCTAGCAAAAATACGTTGTATCGATCTACGATGTCGAGTAAGAGAGCGTGCTGCCTTGTACAATAAGCAGTGAGAACAGGAAATATGTAGAAATGAAGCCTTGATGTAGCATACATTAATAACACCTAGGCCAAGCTATTGAGGAATATGAGAAAGAGAGAGATGGTCTAATTTTCAAGCGCTCAATTGATTTTGCCGGTAAAGAAATGAGTCAATAATCAAAATTAGAATTGACATTAAAATCATATAGAAAGAATACGAATCTGGGGTTTCTTGCGAATTTAATCATTGTGTCTTTGACATCAAAATACTTCCAGGTAGGTTTTTACTAAACAGTGTAAAACCAATTGTGCACAAGCTCATTCTCTAATAATACATATGCTAAACCAATAGCCAGAAAAATGGTAACGTCCGCTAAGTGAGTCATACATTCATAAATCTTGAAAATTATAATTTAACCCTTTTTCTCTTGCTGCGTCCAATTATTTTTTCGTAATTTCTAATCCGCAGTGAAATGCCGGGAGCGCCACAACACCGAGTATAACATGCTGAAATACATACATCGTGTACGCCAATAAGAGCAAAATTAGCCACAAACCGCGATGAATGACTAGCCGGATCGAAATCAAGCCGGATTAAGGCAATAATAAGTCGAAAGTAACAAAGGCCAGCAAATTTCCTTACCGCCCCAAGCCAAAAAAGCGGTTTCCGCCACCTATATTAAAGATGCCAAGAGGATATTGAATATACAGAATAGAAGAGGAAAGGGCTGATTGATGCAGAAGACATATCTGAAGCAGAGAAGTATCTAATCTGGCGGAGTCAATTTTTTTCCACATTGGTAAATGGACCTAGAAATAAAAAGAGTTAACTGGTTATTACAAATCGGGGAGATGGATCAAAGGGTCACATTGGAAGTTAATTATTGTCACATTGCAGAAAATAAATGTTAAGGTCATTGTTTTGGAACTGAAGAACAATCCCGATATCTTGTACGATGTATGAAGCTGTATCTTGCAACATATAGCCTCAAAGCAGGTTGTATTACTCAAAAGGACATCTTCAGCTGTTGAGTATTACTTTGTGCTTATAAAAGAGTATTAGCAGAAAAATCCCATCTCGTCCTTAATCTGGAGAAATTATGTTCACAACTTTTCCACGAGTGTTCAACAGGACGATAGAATCAGAAAATGTATTTATGATACACTGTTCTTGCATGTTCCTACAAAGGTGTAGCATTAGAGATTATTTGAATTATGAGCTAGACATTGGATTCTATTTCGTAAGTGAAAACTTGTTCACCACTTAATGGGATTGTTCATCAGTATCAGTAAGTTATGCCGAAAGCATCTCGGCCCACTCTTACCTCGACTGCCTTTACATTGCCCACTGAATATCAAAACCCATTTATCAGAGCCTTGATTGTCCCAGTTTTAGTCGACCAGGTGCCTATTCTTGGATTTTATCGCAAGTGTATTGATGCACCTGGTGACATGGATGAGAATAATCGGAATGAGATTGATCGAACAACTCATGTCCTCCATAAATGTTCCTCCCAGGTATTAATACTCATAAATACCTATTGGCAAATAAGTATCCATTCGCCTCTATCACCATGTGTTTGTGTTTACGAATGTCTTCGTGTATGTAGAATCATTTTGACAGAAAATGCCTCAGTTACATTCATGTTTTGGAGCTAAAGACCCTTATCAAGCTTGATACCCAACTATGTCGCATCATATATAAACTCATTAATCCTCAACCTACAAAACGGCAAGAGATGCGTGACTTACATAATGTGGTATCATAAGGCCAGGCAAACCATAATGCGAGGCGAAACAGTACGGAAAGAACCGAACTATAAAGTCAATTGAATAGCAATGTCGATGCGGATCTTATCCGTAACCTACAGAGTAGGAATATCAAGACTAAATTAGGCGTGATGATATAGCCTCAACTAAATGCTTTACGTGGATAATGGTGCTGACAAGCCCTCTAAATACCACTCTGTATCCATTCGGGACTCTGCGAAGATATACTATGGCCGCCTGACTATTAATCAATAAACAACACTATCATAGAACCGTCTTAAAGCGCTGATATTCATACATCCCCCAAGAATAAGCAATAAGCTATGTCTAAAAAATGACAGTATTTATTAGTCGTAATATAATACTTGTCAGTTTCTGATGTAATTGTGTCCACTAATTATTACAGGTACTGCCATTGACTTTTCGCGGCGCATACAACATCATCAAACCCAAACCATCACCAGACATGGACACCTGGTTGTGTTGTTGTGAGTATTGACCCATACCAACATCGTATGTCGGTGGTACACCAAGTTTGGCTTCTCTACGAATTGATATTTGATTCGTTCTGGGTATATAAATTGATGAAATGGAATGAGAAGAGAAAAAAAGTGCTACCTCAGATATGTTTGGCCATCAGAATTTTTCGACGTCATCAACAACCATCGTCGAGTATTTTTGTACGTATACGACGTATTCCATCATAGACCATAACCGTTCGCAGCCTAGGGTGACATACGTTACAGCTTTGCCACCAAGGTGAAGGCGAAATCGATTTAGTTCCTGGAGCATAGTAAACTACAAATATACAAGTAATGTAAGCGAGGAAACCGTTCGGCAACCGTTCGACAGTCTCCGGGTTCGTGCCAACTTTGAGTTCAGAACTTAATGTAGTTTTTCAAAATCTACCTCATCGGCAATGTTTGGATAGAACGAGCCACATCAGAGACATCCGGCTGATCTTTGTGAAACGGGCGAAGATCAATCGATTGTGTTGATTTTCTTTTAGCAAGTCGCAAAATGTATGGCCGCAATATCGCTATCATACACTGCGATGAAAAACTATCTCTGCGATCATCCATCGTGCTGATATCTCTTCAGGCCTTGAGATTCGGTGCAATTGCGTTATACTAGACGCACCTATGCTCGCCATCGCCAACACACATTATGATTCTAGAGTGATGCATACATTATATTGCGCTTTGGGCATTTTTGGAGTTCTGGTTCAGATCGGATGACCTTCGCAGGTAAAACCAGAAATATTAGCACCAACTTTTAATAGTGTTAATTCTGAAATACCCTCATCTACAGATCGGAGTAGCAAGTATATCAATCCACTTTGGAATCCAGTTTTCCGGTTGAATCTAAACAGCAGCATACGTGAGATATTTTCATAAATTTCGTGACGAGTTATTTGATGATAAGAAACTGTATTATAATTTGGAACAACCTAAAAGTGTCTATCATTGATAGGGATCTTAACCACGTGCAAGCGTTCGGGAGAACAACTAGATGAAAGTAGACAACGGACAACTCAAACTAACGTACAAACATATTTAAATCACAACAGACGGAGCTATTCCAGGTTGTCTGATGCACAAGCGAGTTTAGTATAGAATATGATTCTTCAGATGCAGCGAACGTGACTGGTACACCATAGAGGTGCGATTTTATACGAGAAGTAAAGTAATAAATAAATACTTACAAGTATGTTTAGACTAAATTGTAAACAACTGACCCTTTAGGTCATTGTTCCACTATATATTAAAGCTTTTGTCCTATTTACTATGCACTTTAGCTACATACAGATATTGTGCCTAATATTCGGTATTTGCCTATAAGCTAAAATCCGTTTAAAAAGAAAAGTGACTTTAAACCTTATTGGCTTTTGATGGTCATAACTCGAGAGTATCTCGAGTTTCACCATTTTATCCAATGCTTATAACCTCAAGGACGTCATGCTTGAATCAAGCTGACAGTCCTCTAGTGTGTAACTGTGGGTAATCAGTTAGTACGAGGAAGATACATATTCTTTAACATGAGTATCTCACTTGCTAGTAAGGGAAAACAAAATGATATATTTCGGAGAATAACCCTCACTAGAACTCCTAACAAACTATAATAGACGTCGACTATAAGAAAGTACTGCAGCTCTTTGGTGTCAAGTGTCATATAATAATGACACAGCAGCAAGTGCTCTTTAAGGCACAAGACGGTCCCATATGACCGACCTGTACATAAATAATAGAAGATCTCCCAGAACATATACGACGGAGATATTCGTCGTGAGTAAGTTGTAAGAATTGCGACAATTTTTCTACCCCATGCAGTGTTGGAGTGGACATGAAAGTTTTACCATCGATGATATGAGAATAGGCGATTCAATTTAAAAGTGAGTGAGAGGCCACAATATTTTTTGACTGTTCGGAAGTTGTCATCGACAGTCAAACTTTCACGCTACACCTTCGCGGCATATACTACATCGGTGACCTTCATATGCATAGCAGTTTTCCGGTTTCAAGACACCAAAAAAGCGATGATGAGACTACCATCTGGAAAGTCCTGATGTAATTGAGCAGTCTAAATCATTTGCCCCAGACGCAGCTACCAGAGTTATCTCGAATGTCATCACCCAAAGGCGTCGCGTGTGAGCTTTCATTTTGTATCGCGAACACTTGATGAGAAGCGACGGTGGTCGAGATACACATACACGCAGCGGTTACGCCCTAAATGGTCAGCAGTGACACCAAGTTATATTTATGGGCAAGTAGTTTTGTGTCTAAATTTGAGTAGCGCAGCAACCTATAGATGTTAAACTACAGAAAGGATTGAAATGGACTTACGAAAATAGAGATTGAAGGGTCTGAGGATAGATACTTTTGTCGACGGGCAGCAATCTATAAATGGTGTACGACAAACTGACCATTTGAATTGGTCCTTCTCAAAATTTAAAAGAAACTGTGATCGATTGGATACTAGGCGAATACAGCAAGTTCTGTAGTGTAGACCACTTGTATTGTATTCCGGCATCATGTACATAGCTCATTCTCTTCCTTTAGGCGACAGGAGCGGCATCATGTCGGACTGTCTACTCAAAAGGATCAGTTCCACCAACGTAACTTCAACATCGAGATCGTGGTATTTGCCATTGAACTGCACGTGGGTTTCGAGACATCGCACCTAATTATCGACTGTGCGGCGAGTGGTATCACATGAATTTAAATATATCAAAGAGAGCGATGCCGCGCGGACGTCATACAAAAACCCGGTTGCAGAGATATTGTTTATTCTCGAAAAGTTTGCAGTACATGATATATAGCGTACGAATAGTGAGCCAAAAATACAACAACCATAGATTTGTCGGATTTCTTCGGAGGCATTGCAAATTACCTGTATCGGTTCATTGTGGCGTGTACTAATCCATTATTTATTAAATGAAGGATTTAAAAAATGTGAAACTGATTGCCTTTAAGGGTAAAAGGTGTATATGAATGCAACTCCGAATATATTTTCATGTTACGACTTACGAATCGCATTGAAATTGTTTCTTGCTAGAGCTCCATGTGAACCTGAACTGAATGGCTACTTTTCGTAGTTATTTATAGCCGCAACCACAGAACCGCGCCATACGGATGGATTGAGCTCAACTATATATACTCTGGCAGGCCAGCCTCTTTCCTAGCCACTTTAATCGTGGAGCGGTGATGGAATTCCTCGCGAAATAGCTGCCGAATGTACTACACTCGTATATAGAGTAAAAACAACATATTATTAGTACAAATGGCGAATGCTCGAAAAGTATGGTAACAGAGACGATGGAGAACACACATCGTTTTTATCACTTCGCCCGATGAGTCGCTAGCTCAACTCGAGACGTACATCACACAGCAAGCGACATTTACGTCGACCACTCAGTCGATGAAACTGACAACACTAAAGCAACAGGACAGACCCGATACAGAGAAGACGATAATATCCCCGTGCAGCCATGTAGCAGACTTAAGTTTGAGATATATTTTTATCTTTTTAACTATAGCAACACAATAAAAGATACAGTAGTTTTGTTCACGCCTAAGTGACTACGAAAGCACACCGCTCGACAGCTGGATAGCCAGAATCGAATTTTACTGGACGTATTGAACCGACGTCGACATGACGAACACTTCTATGAGACACTACTGTATCGCAGAAAGATTGAGCGTACACCAAATTAACTCATAAACTTACTTTCATATATTTGTCCAGTGTGAATATGTCGTCGTCGGCATCTTTTCGGTACAAACGCTTACCGAGATAGTACACCACATCTTCAACGGCGTGATGCTTGGCCACCGCATCTATTAATTGACTGAGGAACATCGCAATGAAGGTCATGAGCGACGAGACGAGAGTAATAAATACTATGTCAACGTGCGCAAAACATTCAACGATGGTGCCTAACCTTCGCAAATGAGGGAGACAGCACCCTTCCCAATAAGTCATTCGAATCATTCATAAATTCTAAAGGTTGGTGCATGCCCAGCTGTAAACTACGCGCAACGCAGATGATACGCAGACACTACCTTGAACAAATATCACTTCTATCTAAGCATGTAAATCATCGTTGGCGTTATGCACTTACTTATACAATGCATATTTGGGTCTCGTCATTGACTCGAGATCTTGTTCCTCACCCTCCGATTCTTTCATAGTTACTAGAGACTTTTTTATTTCAGCAGTTTTCCTCGTGTATTCTTTCAGCTGTGTGTCAATGCGATACTACGACAGTACAGAATTGGGGACGAAAAGGCTTAGATAAAAGCAATATCATGTTATATAATGCAGAAACAGAGGTCGTCTCATTTCAAGGACGCGCTATGAGATCAATCATCGATTCTGCGGGGATAGATTATGTGCTGAGAAGCGTGAAATAGGTATATGACTCACAAACAAAAAACTGAAAAATTATCACGAAAATTGAAGCATATAAGATATGTCAAGTGCGGATCACATGCTAATCACATGAACGGAGACGCGATTTGAGATTTGAGATTTCGAGTGGATTCACTACAGCAATGGGTAATGACAATTTAAAATAAATAAATGACTGGTCATACCTCTTCACTCGTAATATATTCAAGCATGGACTCTAATTTTCTGCTACTGCTCGAGAGAGTAGACGAACTCTCCAGTTCGTGGTTCATCACTGTACTATTCTCCGAATCTATCAGCGGCACTTCTCTCGAAAGTCTCTGTAAATCAGAGCGCACGATGTTTGAGCACATGAAATATTAGGGATTTTTCTTTGAATAAAAACACGGGCTACAAAACTCCTGAACTCGTTAAATTTTATAAACTAAATTAGAACAAAGCACAAATAATCAGGATGTCATGCTCGAATTTCCTCTCACTCTCACTCACTCTCTCTCACGCGCCGATGTATGTATAATAATAGCAGCTTGCTGATAAAAATATCTTGACCACATACATCAGCTACGGCACTCCTGAGAGACATCAGTAAGACATCGTCGTGTATCGCATTGTCAACCTCATTCTGCTCGTTTGGCTGTTGCTTGTGTTGTGCCGACTGTTGTTGCTGCGTTGCACTGTATATATCAGGAGGTCTTACCGGCATCGCTGGAGGTGTGATGGATGCTACAGTGAAGTGTAAGAATTTAATGTGCCTAATAAAAAGTAATACACTACATGATTCAATTTGAAAGGTACGGCGGGAGTACCAACGAGTAGTGCCATTTAAACAGATAGGATGCCTCCCCAGCGTCATATGTCATGTTATCAACGCCTAGTTCCGAATCGCGACGACAGTGCACTTTTTCATCAAAGGTCATTTTTTTTCTAAACGGCCACTGAAAAAAGATGTGTCCCAACAACACATCGCTAGCCATATACTCCTTACCTACCATTATTTTCACCCGTAGTGGAAGATATCAGCATTTCAGAGAGATCGTGCATCCTCACACACAATTAGAGAAGGAGATTGAGCGACGTACTTCCTCACACTTCGCCATACTATACTAACAACGCACACGCCATACACACTAACACTGCATACCCTGTTAATAACTTATACGGCGGTTGACTAACAGAATGCATTTTAGAAAGCAATGGGTGCTACTAAATCTCATGTAGCTACACAAGACTCAATACAGTCCACATCCTGAATCAATTATTCCCTTGACATGGAAACGATTCGTTGAGAAATATGCATACATACCGGGAGGTTTAAACCCGGTAGCCATCTCGCTGGTCGACAACGTTCTACCAAAGTTTGCTGGAGGTCCGAAATTAGAGGGAGGGCCATACCCCCCGAAGCCACCAGGTGGTTGTGCCGCAAACCCGGCGGGAGGCTGTGCTGCTGGTGAAGGTTAAAAAATCTAATCATCAAGGGCCAGCTTCAACGGAAATTGACAAAATATGTGTGTTATAATACTAGCCTTATTCAAGGCCACAAACACATCGAATGGATATGCTGCTTCTAGTAGCATTTTTTCGAGTGCAAACAGCAGCTTGATTTGTGCCCGCCCCCCCCCCAGGTGTACGCGAGGACAAGTGTACGAGATACTACACTTGCAAGCGATACAAATTTTCTTTTGCGTTCTTACCAGCGTAGCTACTTGCCCCTCCGTACCCACCATGATTCGGGGGCATTGATTGGTTTCTTTGTACTGAGGGTTGATTCTGTGGCCGGGCGTAAACTGGCGGAGATAAGCTGAAAACTTCTCGGCAGTAGTACATCAGTCCGGATAACGTACTCTGCAGGCAATGAGAGTATAGTGTAGTTTCAGGTGTTAGAAGCAACTGGCTATAGCAGTGAGCAAAGTCGGAATATATCATGCAACTGTACAGAAAACGAAAATAACAAGCGTCTGCTCGCAATAGCCAAATAAACAAGCAGCAATAAAGCAATTGGTATTGAGCACTAGCGGTTCACAAGAGGTGATAAGTTTTGTATTGAGAGTACTCGACGTAGTAACTAAGCAACAATGTTGGCGATCTGGGAATATTGCCAGCAAAGCATCTGAATTAATATCGAAGTTTAATTATGTCCACACATCTATGTAAAGATATCTATTTGATACATAAAAAAAGCCAATCATAGCTAAGACTTATCGCTTTCATGAAGCTTGACTCATAACCGGGGCGTTGCAGATATTTGAAGCACAATCACACAGCTCATAGACATACCCCTCGCGCCCAGGACGACAGGTATGGGTGGTATACAAGTCCGTCGTTGTCCACGTGCTGACCCGCTTTGACCAACATATTTGCTGTAGGTACTACAAATACGACCGGAGGGATCTCGGGATGTACATCTAATAACCAGACAACCACGGGGATATTATACCTGGACCCCCTATAGTCGATGGGCAGAGTACCTGTTGGGTGCGTTCGAGCGGATTAGATAATTTTTATTAGATTGTGATACTACACAAGATGCACTTAATGTAAAACATATTATCATGCACTATATGTCCGACGACTATAGGGATTTCTAGTAACATACTATTGTTGTTTCCGCCTATGGAGGGTTCTTAAGTTTGACTAGAAAAAAAATACAGCAGCATTTAGCACAAGGCTGTAATGCCAAAAACACCAATCAAAGCAGAGCAAGTATAAATATATAGTCTATGTACAACACAGGAACAATTCAAGCTTTCAGTATGTAGTGCCTGGACACAACAGACTTGTCCAAACCTACCTGATAAGTTTAGCAGTTGTCTACTTCGGCCATCGTTTGTGGTGTAAAGTTCTGTCTTCGGTTTGAGACTCGGGTATTCAGTCAGTGTGCGGCAAACATCATCACTTACATCTCGATGGTTTTTATACTGTAGAAGAGACAAAAGAATCAATTAGTGATGACAGCAGATAGAGGATTGTATTACACAGGACGTAGTTCGCTCAGACAGCAGATACATATTTGAGCAGCGATGCGCGAGCAACAGACATGTACTCATACACACATACACCTCCAACTACACATTAATAGAAACATAAACGTATACACACATACACCTCCAACTACACATTAACAGAAACATAAACGTATATACACACACACATACAAATATACATTTACATACATACATACGTAGATACATATATTCCACACATACACATACGCATATACATGCCCCACACCCTCAACCATACATAAAAAAAATTCAAACAGAAACACGCACAGACACAGACACACACACTTATATAAATATATAAATATATATATATATATATATATATGTATATATGTATACATACATACATCAAAATATACGTACATACATACAACACACACACACACAACCCACACACACATATAAATACATATACACAATGGTAAATTCATTCCTACAAATATATAACTGTATGTATATATGTGTGTATGTATTTACACACATACACACACACACACACACACACACACATATATATATATGTATAAATATAAATATATATATATATATATATATATATATATATAGATAGATAGAGATAAATATATATATGCATGTGTTGTATGTGTGTAGGTATATATATATATATATATATATATATATATATATACACATATATATGCATGTGTTGTATGTGTGTACGTATATATATATATATATATATATATATATATATATATATATATATAAATATACATTTACATATAGTACATATATAGTATATATATATATATATATATATATAATATATAGACAGACGGACAGACACACAGACAGACAGACATACAGACACAGACACACAGACACAGACACAGACACACACACACACACACATATATATATATATGCGCATATATGTATATACTGCTGGACATCTCTGTCCGTGATGTATGTCTGTAAGCATGCGTCAATGTTTTTGTCAACATTCCCTATTTCGTTAATGCAGATGAAGGTTCGGGGCTAAAAGGGTGCACAATCCGATATCTATATTCACTTATTGTGCAGTAAGTAAATGCTCGAACAACAAATTGCCCAAGAAAAACGTAAGCACTCGTGCACATTATTCATTCCTCAGATCTTGTACCTATGTTTGTATTAACCAGGTACATATGAGAGAAATCCAATACTCGCACGGACGACTCAAAAGAGGAAAATTGCATGTGAATATTGTGTTGGCACTATACTAATTTGGGCATATACAACATATATGTACTTCATAGCGACAATCGCTAATCAAATTTTACCCCATACGCCACATATACTTCATATAAATGATCGCATAACAACCCATACCCCGAGCATCTGGAGCTGACTGTTCACGTACTGTGCATCCTGTGGGTTCAACATAATGCTCACACTAAAGAAGGGCTCCTGTAGTGTACAGTCGTTGTAACATTCGCTCTGTGGGCTTCAAATGGCCTATTTCATCGATTGATTGCTTAGATAAACTTCAATTCTGCTGGAATCATATTGAGCATTTCAGCGTCGCTTTTTCATAATATTATTGACAAAATTGAAATATTATGGCCTCTCATCGTGAAATATCATGATATGACATGAAATATCATGATTTGGGTGTAGTGTTTTTTTTTTTGAAAACAAAGCTATAAAGCCTATGTTACCTGATGTGCGCTTTCAGCATACAAGCATGTGTCTCGTATATCTGCCCCTACTAGTGTTCTATACAAGCACGCTGGAATAAAAAGAAACCCATTTATTCCTGCGTCAATAGAGTGGACGCTCAGGTCACAGACTCTAGATTCGCTTAAGCCAGCTTGCAATATCACGTCTTCACGCTACAGAACACCTAGAAAGTAGAACATTTCATGCTACGTTCTTAAGCACAGTTCTCAATTCAAGTATTGAACACAGGTGTCAGTGGTCTGCAAAAGGCACGGATGAGATCTTTAGTTCAATACGGGTCGCAATATATTTGACATACATGATAAAATTATAAGGAGCTGAAGAAGCTTATAAGGGAATTGGGAAACTTTATATGGAGATCGATGCTTTATAATATATGATATGGATCCCTCCCTCGGTCCGATTTATAACCGCCAGATTCCAGTATTGTGACCTATTATTGATCATAGCAATTCATTCATACTTTCCAGACTGAGGGACTGCTTATCATTAGCCCACAAATCTTAAATTCATTACGATAGGGATACCATCCTCCGTAGTTGCGTTTATGAATTTTATTTCCATTGAGGCCAGGGTTGACGCATATTCAATATATGTACGTTTTATGCACGTGAATATTCGACACCTTGTGTCCATCAAATTTATCAACAGCGTTATAAGATTTTGCGCGAGTATACTTCAGTAATATAATAGCAACGCTACAATACCATATCGACGACCATAAACAAGAAACGCCCTTTGTACGATCGCAATATTTACAAACGATTAATAAAAAAAGAAGTATAACATACATAGTTGAGCAGGAAGTAGAGAGTATCAAATATACATAAACACAAATGCTTCCAACAGTCCGATCACTCGATCAGGCATATTATTTTATTTCTTCTCTCTCTCACAACACAACAGGAGAGAGAGAAAGAGAATAGACTGTAGAGTGAGTGTAGACTGTAGTGTGAGTGTAGACTGTAGAGTGAGTGTAGACTGTAGAGTGAGTGTAGACTGTAGACTGTAGACTGTAGAGTAGAGTAGAGGAATACAGTACAAACAAAGACTCAGAGCCTCAGAGGGTCCAGTTTCAAGTTTGGCTTTATTTTAAAAAAATGGAAAAGATCGAAAATCGAGCAGAAAATGAAAAGTAGTTTTTCGACCAATCAAAGCCTACAAAGACGTGAATATATAAATAGATCAGTGGCGAAAAAGCCAAAAACCCAAAAGCACAAATCGCAAATGTGCCCTGGTCCACCGCTCGCTGCTGTCACTCAGTAGTATTTAGTTTGTGATATATATATATATATATATATATATATTACATTTAAATCCGTGCTCTCGATTAAATGGCTTTATGAGATAGACGAGATAAATAGCCATACTTATTACTATACTAGCTTTGCAAGATGTCGGAAACGCTAGTTCCCGAAGTGGAAA